GCTGACGGCGTACTGAATTTGTTTCTTGGTGTTAACAGCGTCAGAACTGTCCACAAGCTCACTTAAATCGTCGTCCGTCACCATCAAAAAACCCGCCATGTTTTTTGTTGCTGTTCATGCACGGCCGTGTCAAAGGTTGCACTCGATACGTATACATGCATAATGCATAGCGCATATATTTTCGTGTACGCTCAACGTGTAGCAGCAAACTACAGCACCGCGATCCATAACGAGGCGCGCGTGCAATGGGGCGAAACGAATGGAACCGAGATATGCACGGTAATGGAACCAATTTGCACGGTAGTATTTTGTCAGTGAAATGGGACAAATGATTTAATGTCATGGGACTAAATTCCACCAATCAAATGACAAGGATCCAGTTAGGTGTTATATAAACTAAAATATCGCACTACCAAATGCCACTTTTTTGTCAATGGCAATTTTTTTGTCATCAGCGGTTCATTGTTCCCATTCTTTTAGCGGGTTAAAGCCCTTGACAATTATAAAGTATTAAATTATTGCAAAACACTGCAGTGTCCCATGATATCGATCACTGCATGCAGACATTAGCCGGCGTACTTTGCGTGCAACTGTAGACCGGCGCGGCATGCAGTTGCAGCTAGCGTGTGTAGAACTTCATTTCATTTCATTTCATTTATTAATTGCACAGGTAAAAATTCAAGTACAGACAATAAGAACAGTAAAGAAAACAAAAACAGGCACATACAGTTAGGAGAGAGAACAAGAAAAAGAGAAAAAAAAAAAGTAGCACCCCTGATGGATTTTAAAAAAGTAAACTAAATTACTATCGAGTTAATCTCCTGATGCCACAATTTAAGAAGAGACAATACAAAAGGACATTACAAATGGACATTATTAAAACATGGCTTACAGTATAAGAATATAGAACTATACAAGCAGTTAAAACTTTAAAAGCACAAATGGGCATTAAAAAATACAGATTCGGTAAGAGAGATTCGAGTGAATTATAATGCAAAAGGCACTATAAAATTGAGAAAAAAAAACAAGCAGCAAGGTATTTGAATGGGCAAGGCAACTAGAAATTTAAACTGTTTTGGTCAAGGGGACCTCCTGGCCAGGGACTAATAAATGATTTCTGAGAGAATTTGTAAAGGAGGATAAACTATGGATAATTGTATCTTTAATGCAGGCCGGTAGTTCATCCCATAATCTAGGGAATCTGTGAAAAAGAGAATGATGGGCAGCATTGGAACGAGCCCGATGATGGACAAATTTAACAGATTCGATATGTCTACAATTAATGGGAATGAGAGTGTCAGTGTCAACGTCAAATTTATTATATAAACATTTAATAACAAACGTAATTGAAAGAAAATGAACCCTGTTGATTAAAAGAGGCAGACCCAGCTTGACACACCTGTCTGAATATTCAATTTCATTTACAGAATCAATTAAAACCCTTCTCGGCAGACCCAAACAAAAACGGGTGAATCGCCTCTGTACCTTCTCTAGCGTTTTTTGCTGAGTCGAAAGAACAGGGCACCAGACTGGAGCTGCGTATTCAAGTATGGGTCTGCTAATTGAGCGATAAAGTGAAGTCAGAATGTTAGGGTTTCTAGTTTTAACTACTCTACCAATAAATCCGTTGAGTCTAGTGGCTTTGGAAGTGACTTTATTAACATGTGTTTTCCAGCTTAAGTCCCTGGAGATAATAACACCCAAGTATTTGTAACTATCCACATTTTCCAAAGTGTTTTCAGCAATTTTATACAGTGGTTTAGCAGGGTTTCTAGACCTGGTCACAGTCATCAATTTACACTTATTTGGGTTTAAAGTCATACAGTTTAGATTACACCAAGTGTTTATGTGCTGCAGGTCATCCTGGAGTGCCACTTCATCCTCTTGATTTTTAATGACTCTGTACAAGACAGTGTCATCTGCATACTGACGGAGATTAGATTGAATGCAAAATGGTAAATCAAAAGCAAAGATATTGAAAAGAATAGGTGCAAGAACAGCACCCTGTGGCACGCCAGAATGAACTGCAGCCCAGTCAGATGATGAACCCATAAACTGAACCCGTTGTAATCTGTTTGAAAGATAAGACTTAAACCAGTGCAACATTGAGCCACAAATACCGTATTTATGTAATTTATTGGAGCAATATCCGATGAGTTGTTATGGAGGAAATTCTTCCCTTGATGAGTCCATGAGGGAAACAGTATTATGGTGAGCAGAAATAAATTCATACTGCTGTAAGCCATGATGAAAATTATTGATAGTCCAGGTCCTTTTCAGGAGATATATAAAATGGCTGACATCTGGATTTTTGCAATCACATGTGAAGAAAAAGTCACATGAATATCTCCAAATCTCGATGAAAATGTTACCTCCAAAAACAGCTTAGTTGATCAATAGTGTTCCATAATCACACATACTTGTAGATGATCGCTTAACGCAATCAATTTTTTTGAAAATGAACAGCCCTAGATAAGATGCTTAATCTGGTCAGTTTATCAGAGGTTCATCATTTTTTCCATTGTTTCATGGACACTCATCACTGAACAGGAACAATGGATAACAAAATTCTAGTAATCGTGCCCCATCACCCTGTTTTGTCACAAAAAACTCAACACCATACGTCTATTGTTTTCATTGCTGCATTAATGATCCAATTGGTATTTAATAGCAATTTCACCAACTATAGTTTGGACAGTTACGACTGTTGGAGTAGTCCCAACTGTAAGATCTTCCTTACCGATGAGTGTACGACGAGTTCTCACAGATTCTGCCACGTTCTGCAATACCTTTGAAGACAGACTCCAAGCTGTTGATATCCAGTAATTTATTGATCCAAACAGTAAAAAGGCTAAAAACGGCTAAAACGGTAACAACAGTAGAAAAACGGTAGAAAAACTGTTTCCTTGCGTATGAGTGTATGATGAGTGCTCACAGATTCTGACGTAGTTCCACTGTTACGGCTTTGAGTTCTCTCGTATAACCGTCAGTCGGTTCGCTATGAACGTCTTGTATCTTGTGGTTTCATTCTGGATGTATTTGATGACGGTCGTGCTATCCGTCCAGAAGAAAATCTCGTCTACGGGTATGTCTAGTTCTCACAGGAGCTGGTTGTTTACTCTCATGGCAACGGTTAATTGCTGCTGTTAGTTCGAGTCTTGGTATTGATTGTATACCTTCAGTGGGGCAACTCTTGCTTTAGAGGTTTCGAAACTGCAGTGCACATTCCCACGACTGTTTTGTAGTCTGAGATAGCTGACGGTTCCATATCCCTTTTCACTCGCATCTGCAAAGTGATGGAGTTGCACCTTTTCAGGGTCTTCAAAACCTCTTGGCTTGAAACATCTTTCCACTATGATGCCTTCCAATTTTGGGAGGTCAGCAAGCCACTGGTTCCATCCTCTTAAATGATCTTCGTCAATTTGTGAATCCCAACTCACTTTCTGTCTGCATAGGTCTTGGAGTAATATCTTTGCATGTAAGACGACAGGGCTTATCAATCCCAATGGATCGTAGATAGAGCTCACCATGGATAGAATTCTCCGATGAGTTGGCTCACGTTTCTTCACATTTGTCTCAAACCCGAAAGTGTCGTTTTCAACACCAACTGTAGATGGGATGACATTGTAGTTGGTACATACATGTAACATAATCACCATACGTGTACATCTAAGAAATGTCTCACTTATTTTGAGATGACTTATTTTGTTTTATCTTTGTTTTATTTCATCTTTTAACAAGACTCAAACAGTGAAATTTTCAGATATGTGAAATCTCTGTTGTTTAGCAAATTTCCGCTTGTTTGTTGAGTGTGCCAGATTTTGTTTTTTTCGCTTGTTTCTATCGATTGTCCTGGTGTTTACCAGCTTTTTCGCGAAAAACACAGTCGATCCGCTCTACAATTCACCCATATGTACGCGTACTAACATGTGCCATTATACGATGTGTATGCATTTTTCAGCTCAAAGCCACATGTGTACTATGTATTGTACACAATGCAAACAGCATCCGGGGAACCAACAGTCATTGCGCTGTGATTGGCTGCAGATAAATATCAATATGCACACATGCGCCATGAAGCGCGTTGGGACTCTTTGCAGCCGTTCCTGTGTCTGTGTAAGTAGTGACACACAATGATCTCCGCAATAACTTGCTGTAAACCTCGAAAAGATCACTTTGCACACTTCTCATTGCAACTATAAAGCTTTGAAATAAGACTAGTAAATTGTTGCTAGCCAATAGAGGGCTTCATGATGCGGGGCAAAGTTCATGTTTGCATTGCATCCACTGATACATTCTGCACTGCTGCTAACGTTAGTGTGTCGTTTCGTACCTATTTTCAAACAAATTTTGACATTCCGCAAGATGTCGGTGCAACACCAATGCATAATTGTCCAAAGAGATTCGGAATTTGATAGAGACATTGACAAGACAAATCCGTGGAAATGGACGTGGATGGAACACACCGGTCATAGGCAGAAATTAGGCGACATGATCCGAAAAATCCAAAAGCCTGGACATGCGATGTGCATTCTTTGCAGCAAGGAATTGAAGATGGCCAAACAACATGAAGTTTAAGTAAGAGCTAGATTTAAAAGAAGTTCATATTTTGCGGGGCAGGGCTTTGGCTGACTCACACGACAGTTTAACAAACCTCAGTTTTAACACAGTTTTCATATACAAGTTCCATTTAGGCAGTTTCAAGCCAATATGAAGGAAAAAGTTAACTTAAAAACATGCATACATTTCAAAAAAATTTCGAACCAGTAGTTGACCCAGGAGGCTGTAAAATGCAGCACAGAGCATCTTCATTTCAAAATTTTCCAGTGGGCCCCTGACCCCACTCCGTATGAGCTTTGCGCTTCGTGCTCGCAGGTTCAGCTATTTTCAGCTATTTTTTAGCTATTTTCAGCTATTTTCAGCTATTTTTTTAGAGCTCCACTCACACCCCTGAATTTCATAAGTCCTAACATTGATTTAAAAATCTTGATATTTTACAGGTACCAGTTGCTTATTGAGGCAGCAGATAACATTGTCACACTGTCAAGTGTTATACGAGATCATCTTGGATTGCCAACAAAGGATGTAGAAATGCCAGATACGGACCAGAGTAAGTAGCCATTAAAGCTGTAACACAGTGTTAATCATATCTACAGAACTGTAATCTGTGGTTGTACATACACTAAGCATCGTTCAGACAACGTTTTAAATTCCGTTAAAACTCCGGTTGAACTAAAGTTGGTGTAACTTCATTGCTAAAACAATGTATGAACCGTTTTTACACCAAATTGAGTTCAACTTGCCGCTAAAACAGTAAGTTAAAACCCCTCAGGGAGGGTATAGCGCTTCTAAACCAGAATGACTTTATCTCATAAAAGATATATTAATCGTTTTTAGCTGAAACGCTTCCTGTTTTAGCCAGTGCAGGTTACCTGGAGTTACGTAACACCTTTTCAGTGGCCTGCTTTTGTTGTAAATAAACACCCTGGGGCTCGACAGTGGGCAAAAAAGCACCAGTGAATTTCCAAATTCTGCTACCATAAGTCAGCCATTCATGAAAAAAAAATTCAAATTCCAAGCCTAATCTCCACACGTTTTCTGACCACATGGCGCGAGTTTCACATCGTGCTTGCTCGCACACGTACAATGAAAAATATGCAGATATCAATGCAACAACCTCTGACTGGAGAGTAAATATAATAAAATTATGTCAATTTGCACCACTAAAGCTACAAAAAATATGAAGGCGATGTACAGTACTTACAAAAGGGAAAATCAGGAAGGGAAACCATCCAACATAGTCTTTAGGCTATACGGCAAATGTACAGCGTACCCTGTGGTAGAGCATGGCCACAGTGAATGTTTACTGCGCATTGCTCAGGCTGCGATGTAAACCTAGTACTTGGCAACGCGACCGTAAAAGGCTCAGACTACCTGTAGCGAACTGGTCAAACTGGACAAACTTACAGCACGGTTTGGGCCGGGGCGGAAGATCTTCTTGACCACAGAAACTGACATAAACCTCTTCCAGCTGAACTCGCTGGGGAATTCCGCCCCCCCCCCAAACTTTTTCCGTGACAGCCTTAAATAAAAACATTCGCGACCAAAGCTGTTCTGACTTTTTAGCCTCGAGTGTTGCGCATCATTTGATACTGACCAGTGCACCAGTACCTACGTCGATTAAGGGGGAAGGAAGGAGGAACGGTCCTCTAATTAAAGTGGACGAGTGTTCAAACAAACTATGCAATCACTATAACGACTATGATTTCCTGAGCTTCAATAAATGTATTCCTACAAGACTTCAAGTATTACCAAGCCCGTGTGCACAATAGAAAATGACAGTAAATACAATGTATGTCAAAGACAAAGTTCAACACATGGCTGGATAGTGGCTGTGTACAGATGCTGCACACTCTAGTACAAAACTACAATGCAGTGAATCATGTCTGTCCCAAAATACAACTTCTCTCACAAAACGATTAATACTCACTGGGAAGTTTCTATACTCACTGGGTACGTAGCACCTGCCACAACCACCCTCCTTGGAAGTGGCCTCGCCTAATTGGTCATGCACTGCGGAGACCTGAGGTGCCTCTTGCTGTCTTCCTGAACCCCAAAAACCAACCATCAGAGCCCTTCCGACAGGAAGGAAGCCTATGTCGTGCACTACCTCTCACAGATCATAGACGACCTTAATGCCATCGGCCTCAAACACGATCAGGCTGTTCATGCTGCCCAGGATCAGGCTGGATGGCTGAGACGAATCGCAAACATTAGATAAAACAATTAGTCAGAACGTAGACGAGTCAAGTACAACTCCAGTAGTGTCAACTAGTAGTAAGTTTCTGTAAGATCACCCTCCCACAGTGATATATACCTCAGGAGCATGGCAGGAGCCATGCTCCCTCTAAAACAAAAGAATAGTTGGACACAATTTTATGTCGATCTTCTCTTCTCATAGCCCACCGGAGAAAAATCGTTAAAAGTTGCCTTTGCGCGGGGAGCACAAAGGTCACACTATACAAATCCAAGTGTTTCATGAAAGTATGCAAATCACTTGGCAAACTTTTGGACGTACAACAACTGAGGGCGCACTTGGTCTCCCTACAGTACCAAAAACATAAAATTTGGACCACGGGTTGCCGCGCAGCGAAATATTTTCCGACGCGTAGTAAAAACTTAATTTCCCCGTGGATATACATAGTGTACACAAAGCAGAATTACCATTCCTGCATATGAATAATTAATTAGCTATAATTCCAAAACCCTATGACCTATAGTCATGAAATTTCTTTGGTATGTTTATGATAAGTTGGTCTATGCATGTACTGAGTCTCCTAATTTTTCGTTACCCGATGGCTGAGATCTTAGGTCTTGTGATGTTCACTCGTTCAGGGATGAGTGTAGCTTGAAATTTCGAGCGTTTCTGGTCTTTGGCGTGACATGGGGAGATTTGCTAGGAGAATTCAAACGAAGCCCCTGACTTAGACAGCGGTTTTTGCTTTTTTTTGGCCGATATATTTTCAATTTCTGTTCAAATTACAAAGATTTATAATGTAGCAGGGGATCCATGCAAATTGAGAAAAGAATCAAGTCGGATAAAAGAGATATTTTCATTGCAACTCCGGTTGTGTACAACAGAATCCCTGGCTCATTAACGTACACACATGCCGTGCCTGCACTATGGCTGTATCCAAGGATCATTCAGAACAGCCAATCACAAGGTGCCTCAATTATTAATTAATGCCGATTAGAACATTCAATAGCCATTGGTCTTCGGACTGCACTGTGTATGTAGAGGCCGGAAGGCTCCGAGGCCAAGGCCGGCCTCGAGACCTCCAACACTTAAAGAGGTTGTGGAATGCTGAAAATCGTTTTGTTTTTTATATTTTTATATTGTAGAGTAGACCCATATATAGCATAATGACAAACTCCCATTCTTTTCTAATGTGCGTTTATATGTTTATAAAACTGAAATTCATCGAGTAATTTGTTGGTCGGCGAGCGCATAATTGAAATCAACAGTCGTTGGGCTCTTCGTAAAATCAGAAAAAGCGTGACGTAATAAACAGGACTCGTTTATACAACGACTGTTTACTGCTGCCCAAACCCGCCCTGTCAGCACGTGTGACTCGCAGTCAAGCAGTGAAAAATCAACATTTTGTAAAAGACTCGCGGAGATTAATATTCCTTCCCATCGCTTAATATTTGGATGAGTATATTGAACAAGGACACGGTGACCTCTGAGCTGTTCTTCCATATAAATTTGAGCCCCAACTGCCCGAAAAAGAGACCAGCGAAAACACAGATACTGCAACTGGCCAGCTGAAAACGCCAGGCAATGCGGCTCTGATGATCTGAGTGGTAGGTCTGCGACGTTTGCGTGAAAAAAACAGCTGCGTTTTATCCAAGGACTCAAAGTATTATGTTCATGATAACATTTTTAGATGAGCATCAACAGTCCTACCGCAACTTTCTTCATGATTTACAGACAATCTCAAACGTTATTCTGGTGAATATTCAGTCCAAAGAGACGACAAATCGTCAGGTTGTTTTCGAATTATACGCGTACGGCACGCATAACGCATCACGCGATCACGGCAGTGGATGTGGTCGACCGTGTCCAGAACTAATGTTGTACGGTTAGCAGCGTCGCGGGCCCCGGTCAAGTTCCTTGCGTTGCCTGGTGCTTTTTATGTATACGTTCGCCACAAAAAATTAGTCCTCTTCTCTTTTCTTTCCTTGTGCATTTTAACCCTTGTTTTAACATCCTGAAACGATAATTACGAATTTACTTGAATTTTGAAATTGTTAACTTTATTGTCTACCAAAGAAAAAGCCTTAAAACAACGCCAGGAGACAATGGGACTAAAAAAAGTACAATTCATAAATCATAGTCATGCTCCGTTCATAAAACAAAAATCTCTGGACTTATGACATGTTTGGGATCCCGGTTGAAAACAAAATTCACTGGTCCCAAAATTTAACAAGCACTATCATTATTTTCAGTACCTAATTAAGACTTTATTCAAGAAATTCCAGTGGCAGAGAATTTGTCATTCGATCAAAAGAAGTTCTAGGGAAAATGGAGGCCTGTCACATTAATCAGCACTAACGTAAGGAAAACTACGCGGTCTTTTTTCTACGCATTTACCTTCAATTTGTGTGTGACAACGCGTGCGCGTATGCTGCGCAGATAATGGAGGGTCGAGGATACATTTGAACGGGTCTACGATTCTTCAAGATTGGCAATGGACAAATGGTCCAAAACAGTCTTCCCTATAAATCATTAACATATCATATCTCTATTATTTCTTGTCCAATTTCAACAAATCTCTTGAGAAAAGAAGACTCTTGCCGTACAAAATATACAGTGCATGATCAGCGCTCTATCCGTTAATTTGGCTGAAATCCGATCTCGTGTTTTCGCACGGTACCCTTCGGACAAACTGCATGGCTACGGAGGATTCTTATTCCTCCATGCTGACACCCGGACGGGAAAGCTGGAAATTTATTGCAAACAAAATGTGGTGTGATTACAGCCAGCGACTGACACAATTATAGGCATATAGGTTTGCCTTGGCCTAGTGCGTTCGCTACCCGTACGCGTATCAACAACGAATTATTTTGAAATTCCAACACCGTTTACCGGTGTCAAAATCTACGGTCCCAGCGGCCGGGCCAGCGGCACAAGTACACCCGTGAATTTCCAGCCAGCTTTACATAGGCGCGTGTCACGGTGATGCGATGTGCATGTGAACGATCGAACGATGTTTATGTATTACGCAGACATTTCTTACTATGGTTGGCCGTTGGGGCAAACACAAAAGAATGATCCCCGATCTATAAATAAAATGATGTGTAACTATCAAAACACTGAATAATCAATAGAAAGTACCAAAAAGTCAATGGAGATATCTTCCTATTAAATTCTGAACTTGCCCATTAGAATTTCGGGGGTAAAAGCTGTTGCCAACTACAGTTGAATTTATGGAGCATGTGGCTGCCCATACAAAATGTCGCTCAGTGTAATTGTAAACAAAGTCATGTCGTTGCGCGGAGTGATTTGCAAAAAGTTTCGCTGGAACTACGCTGCATCGGGAGTCCTGTTTATTACGTCACGATTGACTATGTTTTGTTTGCTGCCCCCAACGACGACTTTTACACAAATTGCAAGTTCGGGTCGAAACAGGACCTGAAAAACAGCTCTCAAAAATACCTTTTGTATTCATTTCATGACAGAAACAATAGTCGTTTTTATTTCATCACACCCTAGGCTACATATACCCGAAAAATGACGGAAATGTCTTCGAGCATTCCACAACCTCTTTAAATTATTATACTTATTATTATACGTGTAAAGGTACCACTAAGGAGACACGTTATCGTAATTTCTTCGCACGATGGGAGACATCGGTCATGAGGGAGACATTTTCATGTCTCCATAATGTCACAGCCCTCCTTTAGAGGCACAAATTTTTTGTCACAATTAAGTTATATTTGTTGCTCGTGGTCTAAATAGTAAACATACCGAAATACGTGGAAAAAGGACTAGGGAAAATTGGGTTGGGGCACATTTAAGTTTGAAAAAATGTGTGCACAAGTCTATGTGGAAGTCTCCCAAATGAGCAATCCAGGGTAATACTTATTATTGGCTGTTTTGGCAACCTGCCGAAACAGCCTTTGTTTTCGTTAAGATTTTTTTTTTTTTTTTTTTTTATTTTTCTTTTTCAGTCATTTTGCCCATAGCATTTGTACATGTTGTTTCGTCCAAGGCACTTTGGCCACTAAAATCAAATCTGATTGCCTTTATACTTGGCACACACTTAGCCCAGCACCTGCCGCTGTGTGCCGAACATTGACGTCATTATGACGTCATCACCAGTCACGTGACGTCACAATATAGGTGCATATTCTGAAGGCCTATATCTCCAAAACTACAGGTCTGATTTGGTTGAAACCTGGTATGTATCTAGACCGGGATATGTTATAGATGAAAATGGAAGTGATGTCACAATGACGTCATCACATGGCATGTGACGTCATATTATAGGTGCACATTTTGAAGGCCTATATCTACAGAACTACAGGGCCAATTGAGTTGAAAGTTGGGATGTGTTATAGATGAAAATTGAAGTGACGTCACAATGACGTCATCATGGGTCACGTAACGTCACGTTAAAGATCAATAGATGTTATCTTTGAAAATCAATATAAAATCAACCTTGAGAGACCTGAACTTGACATTTGCGGGAATTGATAGAATAATCCAGGGTTTTCATTATTGATATTACATGCAAAATCACGTGACCCTTCCTTCCGGTTGAAACCGGAAGTGCCTTGTAGTTTAAAATTGGTAAAAAATGTGAACTTGCCTTCAACGATGTATGCTCTGGCTAAGTTTTTCTTTACAAAAACATAACAGTGACGTCATAAAAAGTTAGAGCGCCCTCTAGCAGTAGGTTAAGGATGATTATAGATGAAAATTGATCTGACGTCATCATGACGTCATCACGTGACGTGACATTATAATTAAAAGCCATGAGAATGTAATCACATATTTATATGCCACCATTTATTATAAACAGAACTACACATCCTTTCTGTATGGAACTTATACTTAAAACTTTACATGTCACATATATGTCACAAAAAAGTTACCGAAACAGCCCTGTGTTTGTCCACAAACATAAGTCTAGTTATTATTATTATTATTCTTCTTATTATTATTATTTGCAATAAGCACAACCAGATAAGGGATAGTATCCGTGTTAGAAAAACTCGGCTCAATCTGCATCTCGCATCCTCAGAGCTCGAGCGTCTTCTGTAGGATTCTTATTATAATTGTTATTTACAATATGCACAACAAAATAAGAGATCTAACGCTTATCCGCGTTGGAACAACTTGACTCAAGCTGTGTCCCGCAGCCTCAGAGCTATTATTATTATATTGAATAAAAATGAAATAAAACACTTTAGTTCACTGATCAGATATTGATGGTTTTTTTTGTTCTATTATTTCCTCCTGAACGGATAATTGCTGTGTACCACACTGGCTACAACTGCATGTTGCTGACACAATTTAATATCAACCTTGGCAGTTCTTGGCTCCAATGACAATCTAAGGGGAGGTATGTATTAGTCCAACAATTTTCTCTTTTGATTATTGCAATGTTTCAAGAGTTTGTAACAGTATGCAGGATCAATTGCTATTTGTTTGTTTTTTGGTTTTTTTCGTTTGCAATTTGGTGCAAGTTTGGTGGGTAGAATGGTGGAAGCTTAAGAACAATGGGAAGTGCTCTATTTGAAGTTTTCGAATTTTGTAAAAACAAGAAAACATGTACATGTAGGTTTGGCACCCCACACCATACTTTTCATTTCATTTTATTTCTTTTATTTGTCTCAAATCGTGGCCCAGAGGGCCAAATTCCAAAAGACAATTGCATTAAAAACAATCTTAAAAACAATTAAAACTTGCATAATAAAAAAAATGAGTAAAATAGGCAGGCAATACATTTAATTTGTACGTAAAAAAATACCACATAACCACGGAAACAGAACTATACAAGAAAGGAGGGACAACATGCAGCCCCCCCCAAAAAAAAAAACATTTTTGAGTTGAGTTATTTGGTTACTGTTCCTAAGGTTCCTACCATGACTTGCTAGCCTCGTGGGGGGGGGGGGGGGGGGGAGCAATTGAGTGAGTCGTTCTTAAAATTAGTGCCAAGTGCATTAGCAAATTTTGAGCCTTTCTCTTATGCTATCTAGTGCATCCAAGTTACATAGGTTGAGCGCATCCAAATATGAAGTGTACTGATTCCCCATAATGGTCCTACAAACTCGTTTCTGTATCCTTTCAAGTCTACTTCACTCACTTACCTGTAGAGCCACTACATTTGCATATTCCCCTTACCGCCAGGTTCCATTCGCTAAGAGTTTATACAACAGCGCCCTCTATAATGCTACCCACACTACCCTGTGCCACGAGCGCCATGTCGGCTTCCTCTTTTCTCTAAGGCCAAGAAAAGTCTCCGGTTTCTGGTATGGAGCTTGCCCCTAAAGTGGTGCAGCAACGCGGCTTTTTTTGGGGGGGGGACTTTTTTTTTCCTTCAAATGTCGGCTGATGACTGCAAATGGTGCCAGACTAAATTTAGTGCAAAATATATGGGAGTCCAGAGAGGCCACATAAAGCTTATACTCAATCGTAACCCCATTTAAAACACGTTAAAATTGTGCAGCAGTAGGATTCCAGTCAAACCAGTGAGTTTGGCGGTTTTGAGACATCATCTTACATTGAAAAAAAAAAAATGTTTTCACTTTGCCGACGCGCATGGCTACGGCGACGCGCACGCATACCTGAAACCGGAGACTTTTTTTTTTGGCCTTATAGCAGGACAGATAAGACGTTTCTTACAGTACCTTACTGATAATTGAGTACTTCGTCTTTATCTGTATTCCTATTTTCGTCAATCCCAATTCCTATTTTCGTCTTCTGTGCTTGGCTCGGCAGACAGTGACGTCTTGCCATCCCGCCAGACTAGAGACCAAGCAGGTCGGGCAGAGCACGTTAAAGATTTGCTTAATCCGACTGATGCAGTGGGAACTGAACAAAAAGAGGAAAAACGGGGCGGCAAGGGTGGCAAGACCAAGGGCAAATCCCAAGCTGCTACCGGTGCTACTTGAGTTCACGCTTGAGGTTGTCTTGGTCACAGACCTCAAAGGCTCTCTGTACTATTTTAACAGTCTATACCTCCTATACCTTGGGTATAGGAGACCCGTTGGTCAGGTTTGCTGATCATGATGCGGTTGGGTTTGTAGCCGTTCCGTTGTAGTGATGCCTGGATGTGCTTGAGTTCACGCTTGAGGTTGTCTTGGTCGCAGACCTCAAAGGCTCTCTGTACTATTTTAACAGTCTATACCTCCTATACCTTGGGTATAGGAGACCCGTTGGTCAGGTTTGCTGATCGTGATGCGGTTGGGTTTGTAGCCGCTCCGTTGTAGTGACGCCTGGATGTGCTTGAGTTCACGCTTGAGGTTGTCTTGGTCGCAGACCTCAAAGGCTCTCTGTACTAGGGTGCGGTTGACCGATGACTTGATGCTGGGATGATGAAACACCGCTGTTGGAGATAGCGGTCGGTGTGGGTTGGTAGCCACAGGCTCGGCCGAAGATCCGCTGTGAGGAGGGAGGAAGACTCGAACTCCTCCATAAAGATGTCGGCTAGGACCGGGGATAAAAAAGATCCCATGTAGGTCCCAGTCGTTTGCTCGTAGAACTTGCCTTGCCACTGAAAACAACTTGAAGAGATACATGTTAGTAACAGATCATGAATTTGGTCGGGGGACAGGTCTGTGCGTTCAGCAAGAGTGGTATCATGTTCAAGTCTTTCCTTAGCTAGTTTGCAGGCCTCGCCTGTGGGGACATTGGTGAAGAGTGAGACGACGTCAAAACTGACAAGCAAGTCAGTGGGTTGGACAGTGAGGTTTCTGATGCTGACAAACTGGGAAGAGTTCGCCACATGGTGTGGTGTGTGACCCACCAAGGGTCCGAGGATTTTGGCTAAGTGTTGGGCTGTGTTGAAGGTGGGGGAACCTCGAGAAGCAACTATGGGGCGCAGAGGGATCTCAGGTTTGTGAATCTTCGGTTTACCAAAGAACCTGGGACAGATCGAACTGGAGGGTCTGAGTCGTCTGTAGAAGTTTAGCTGGGCGAGCCTTGCGGAGGACTTCATTCATCTTGATGCGGACGCCATTGGCTGCTGTCTTGTTGAGGTGTCTGAGGGCTGGCTCTGTCGACTGGATGATGCTCTCGATGAGTACGGACCTTGGAGGAACAGCAAAGTTCATGCCAAGGGACAGAACTTTCGTTTCTGTACTGTTCAGCTGTCGGCTGCTGAGGTTGACTACAGTATGCTTGGTGAAGGTGTCTTGACTACAGAGATGAGGTGGATGGCGCCAGGATATAGGAGATCCAGATGGCAGGTTACGCGGGCGAGAAGACTGACGCCAGGATATAGGAGATCCAGTTGGCGGGCTATGTAGGCGAGATGGACGACGCCAGGATATAAGAGATCCAGTTGGCGGGCTACGGTTACGGTGGAAAGGAGTCGGAGTATTCCGTTCCTTGCATTCCAGGCGGTAGAATTTCCTAAGTTGTTTCTTACGAGTGGTGGAGAACACAAACTGGCTAGAAGAAGTAGTGAGAGAACAAATCCTGTCGAAGTGGACTGGTTCCAAGGTGGAGCGGAGATCCTCTTCCGTGTCGGTGATCTGCTGGTCGAGAATGGCGAGTTGTAGTCTGGTGAAGGAGATGCATTCTTGGATGAGGGCGGAACTGGCTCTCCGGAGGATGTCATCCGACCGGTTATTGCATATGGGATCACGGATACGCAGACCGGCAGGAGTTATCTTAGAGTCGCGGCATCGCTTGAGGAAGGTTAAGTTGTTGATGAGTTTAGAACGCCGAATTGACGTCCGTTCATACAACCTAACCTGGTTGGTTACCAGCTCCCCGTAGAGCGAAGATAAGTAAGATTTGAGGCTTTGCATGGTGGAGATACTAAACAATGAATGGTTTGCGGAAACAACATGTGCGAATAATTTCTCACTAACAGAATGGTTCTGAAAAGAACCAGAGGTATAAACTCGACGTTCTGGTCAGTATGCTCTGATCGTCTTCAGGAGAGTGCCTTAGCAAAGGCGAAGTCAATGAAGTGTGAAGTTGCACCCTGTGAGGATGCCAAGTAGACAGGATCCTAGAACAAGCTTGGTGCCCACTGAAGTGGAACAGTAGGGTTGCAGTGTCAGTAGAGGGAGGACCTAGGGTATAGGAGACCCATCAGTCTAAGGTGGTAGCTGAGGACCTAGGGTATAGGAGACCCATCAGTCTGGAGAAGTGGGAGCCAGATGTTGTTGAGGTGAAACCCGATGTCTTGCAGAACTGTGTTGTGCTTACGGATCTCGATGGCTTCCCGTATGCGTCTTGGATGCCAGAACTGGATCGGTGCGATGAGTTCGGCCGCATCCCAATCAACTTTGTGGTCGTTGATGTGGGAATGTTTGACAATGGCTGATTTTTCAAAATCCCCTCGCCGTCCATGTGCTCTGTGTTCCTTGAGCCTAGTGGGAAGGTTCCAACTGGTTTCGCCGATGTAGACTTTGCCGCATTCACATGGAATGCGGTAGACTCCCGCCTTGGAAGAGGAGTCCTTCTTGTCCTTGTGAGTATGGAGGCTGCCTTGGAGCTTGTTGCCAGATGAGTGGTACACCTTCCCGCAACGGTTTCCTACACTGTTCTCCTGCACAGTGATTGGCCAACGTTGCTTCAATGACTGCGAGACAGAACGGACGATAGTTCTGCGAATGCGTATGTACAAATGTTCTCAAGTTACTGACGGACGGACTAAGACGACAAGTACTAAATAACTACTTGAAATTGATGAAGAACTACATGATGAATTAAGGTGAACTCAGCACTTCTAAAAAAACGTAAGTTCGACATTCATGACGTTAGAAAAAGGAAACATCCTTCGCACGTGCTCGTAACCAACAAAAAGTCTATGGTAGAGCTCATACTATGTACAGATACCAGCGACTCGCGAAAGTGTGACGAAATGTTGATAGGTCAAAGTTGGCATGGGGGTGGTCACCACAACAGCCTTGATTATTCTGTAACTTCCAAGTTTTGCTGTTATGTCAATGAGAATGAGCTGCTACGATCAAACAACTCGAGGCGGACTTGAGTGGCTATTTTTTTACTTACATGTTGTAAGACTTAACTTGACTTTGGAAAATGACTCAGGACTTGACTTGACTTTAATAAATTTGACTTGCTGACACGGTTGAAAAGAATGCAGATATACATGTACATAGCGAATTAGCAACCAGCATGCGATAGTTGGCATCCTGAGCTTACCATATGTCAGGGACATGACTAGCACCATGCACGTGTTATGGACAACGTATCATACTTGACCTAATACATGCAAGGTGAAGTTTGTGCTGTGCATAATCTGAGTACCATCCATTAATGGATATAGAGTGGTCATTCCTTAGAGACCATAGGCTACACCTATGTACACATTGAGTGGTTTGCCGTAAGCGTGCTAAATGCAACTAGGGTTTAAATGACTGCAAAACAGCTGCTACCCCCAGTCCACCATAAAGCAAAAAGAATTCACATCATGCATTGAACGAAAACGTTCGGATGGACATTTTGTCAGACATCCTTCAAACATTCAACATGATGGAACAAGTTTGAAAATATATCAAAATGCATTTTTAAGACTCTTTAGATACAATACTTACTTGATATACGATGCACATTTTGATAACCCCATCCCCATCTCTACTAAGGCTCCATCGTCGAACACATAAACTGGTTCCTGTACGTAGTATGTGACTATGTGCATCTAATATTTAAAACAAAAAGACTCGAGACTTGACTAGACTTGAAAAAAATTGATTTTGGACTTGACCTGACTTGTGAAACATTGACTCGAGACTTGACTTGGAAAAAGATTACCTAAGACTTGACTTGCTGAAATGTGACTTGGGTCTTGACTTAGAAAAAAATGACTTGGATACATCTCTGATAATTGGCCCTTGATTGAATGTGCTTTGCTGTTTTAAAAAAAACATGTCGTTGTCAAGGTTTATGGCTTACAAAAGCGGAAGACTTTCTCAAAAAGGAGGGCGAATAGCCTGTGAAGCGGTCAAATTGCGGCAAAGCTGCTTAGTCCTCAAAGCAGGGGAGGCAAAGCATGGGCCCAATTTCATAGCACTGCTTAATAGTAAGCAGAAAAGTTGTGCTTACTATAGCAGACAATCATGCTGCAGACAATCATGCTAACGGTTGCACGTGCATGGAGATTATATTGTTACGTCACTGATTTAAGCAAATTTTTCTTCTGGGGTTAAGCGTGCTTTCGCTGTGCTTACTGCTTAACGGTCCCTATGAAATAGATGGAGGCTCGGTAAGCACAAAGTCGGCTGTTAAGCAGCGCTATGAAATTGGGCCCTGGTCTTTGATATGTTGAGGAAACCCAGTTGGTCACTGTGTGTCTCTTGTGTGCCTATTAAAGTAGTTGCTCACCCAGAGGTGAGATGAAATCCCTGCGTTTATCTTTTTTACAATGCGATCTGTGTGTGACCCCTTTTTTCACATAGTGTAAAACTTACTCAGTTCTCCTTTCCTGACTGGCGCTAAGTGGCTTCATGTACTGAAAAAAGGTGATTCTGTGCTGTCTCGAACTGCCTCTTGTTTGCTAAAGATGACATATGGTACATATAGTTCATCCTGGTGTTACAAACAGCTGTTAAAATGTCTAGGTTCCTATGAAATCTGATGTTGTGTCCCACTGTACGGTAGATAGTGTATACCATTCCAATCAAGTGATCCTTCTCCTCTGAACGGGCTTTGAGCAACAAGCTGGACAAACTGAAAAAACAATGTAAGGTAAATCAAAGCCATTCTCAGTGCCCAGCTCACACAGCCCATCCTGATAATCGTCAAGGGCATCGCTCAGGAAGATGGGTGTTTGTCACAAAAACATTTTCCTGTCTTTACAGCAAAATGTTGTGTCTTCCAGCATATGCCTACAAATACCACCGCCTTTTGACATACAGTGTCTTCTCTTTTCTGATTTAATCAGCATCTCCACTTATGTAGTCCAGTGTAGTTATGTGCTTTCCTCTTTGTGACATTGATTATATTCATGTAATGCATTTACTTGTGAAAAAGTCAATTTGAAACATTGTTGCAGTTGAAAGCGCACAAAAAGAGTACTTTAATTTTAAAATTATTAATCTATCTGGATATATAACATTCCAGGTGAAATTAAGAAGAAAAAGAAAGAACACAAGGAAGAAGAGGTGAAGAAAGATGGTAAAAAGGACAACAAGAAAGGCAAGAAAGAGGTAAGACTAAAGCAGTGTTCCCATTGGACTTGTTTTGGTTTAACCTACCGCGACTTTCCTGTTGAATGAGAATATCAAGTCCAATGGGGACAGATGGTAAAGTAATGTTCCTGTCAAATTACCGTAACCGTGATGTGAAACTACCTGGCTGAAAGTGGTCATGGAAGAGTTCTGCGCAGCCACGGTAAATATCTGGGAGCTGAAAAGTCCAATGGGAACAGCCCTGTACTGTAAAAGTTCTGCAACCATACTGTAAAACACTAACCAAACAATAGTGCTTCCTGTAGTACTTCAATCCACAGCGAACACCAACAACAGCACTTGTGAGAAAATGAAAACGGTTCCTTGTCTCATTAATGTGTATGGTGTAACAGACGACTGTATACAGTGCATGTACCTTTTAGTTTGTTTTATAAGTCCTTATTAAGGTGTTTTTATCGTTCTAAAATGACTCCTACGACCTTAGGGCAATTCCACGGTTACTAACGGCACCTTTTTGATGTACTTTTGAGTTTCTTTGGGCGGTAATTATAGTCCCTGGGATAGGGCCATTTAATCTCAAAATGTTATGATTAATCTTATAGTCAGGCAGCTTAGTGAATGGATGTGGACATTCCGGACAAAAGCGCCAAATTTTCCATACATGCTCCTTAATGCCTTAGCTTTCAATTTTTGATAGGAACCAACTTATCCAATGACATTATGGCAGCCATCTTGGATTTTAAAGATGGCGGCCATTAAAAATCTATATCTACCAATATCTCATCTTCTAAGCCACTGAGGATTAAAGTTTTGGTGTCTAAACATACATTTTCAGGGTCAAGGAATGCAACTGTACCATTTGGGATAGTGTTAAATGGTTAGTTTATCCAAATACAGTGTTGTGGCCATCTTGTATTTGAAACATGGCCACCATTTAAAACCTAAATCTCCGAATACGTGTATTGCATCTTTAAGCCACTAAGGATCTAAATCTTGGTGTCTACCCATATATTTTCAGGGTCATGGAGCGCAACTAAACAATTTGGATTAGTACTACATATATTTCAGATCGTGTCAAATGGTCAGTTTGTCCAGATACTTAAAACGGCGGCAATATGGTTTGCTGTCAAAGGACCAACACTGGCCCGATTCAGGCTATGTACCCTTTTGCCATTATGGTTTGACTTGAAAGGGCCGGCACCGGTCACATTCAGGTTGTGTACCGTCTTGCCATTATGGTTTCCCATAAAGGGACCAACATCGGCCCGATTCAGGACTTTTACCGTCTTGGTTTATCGTAAGAGGACCTGCAATGGCTGGTTCAGGCTGAGCGCCGTCTTGCTGTTATTGTTTGCCTTAAAAAGACCAGCACTGGTCCGATGCAGGCTCTGAACGGTGTTACCATTACCGTTTGCCATTTATTAGGGCGCGTTTTGGCGCAATCGAGCCAGCATTAGCCCGCTTCTGGTCTTGTACCGTTTAAACTGTATGGTACTGCCATAACAAACCCATAATTAGATGGTATCGGCCCAATACCGTCCTGTTTACTGGGTCTATGCCATCTTTGAACCTAGGCAGGTAGAAATCTCTGGCACTACAGGATGTGATACAACTCTGCCTCTCCACAACTACATGCAGCTGAACCACTTTTGCAGCTCCATTTGATTAAGGCGGGTCTGTGATCGGCTAGTCCTGGTTCTCAAGCGGCTGATAGTTTTCCATTGAACCCATGTCGATGTAGTACCTGTGGGGAGGTTTTCCGCCGTTGTTATAGTCTAACCATGACAATCGGTGGGCGTTTGCTCCCAGTCGTTGCTTCCAGTGTTGGAGTCTTGCCACTTCCCGGGCAGGCGCGGTTCTAGAACCAATATTTGGGGGGGGGCTAGCACGGTGGATCCAGAATTTTTTCAGGGAGGCGTGCTGAAATGTTGACCAGTTATTTTTTCCAGACACTTACGCCTCCGAAAGTCAATAGGTGGGGGGGGGGGGGGGGCCTATTTAGAGTTTGCTTATTAGCCCCCCCGTAGAACCGCACCTGTTCCCGGGATGTTGTGAAGCAGTGGACATGGCTGAGGAAGCTTTTCTTGACTTCAGCCTTTTGTGCCGAAGCTTGCCGTCCCTGGAGGAGGCGACACTCGTCATTTATCAGTATTTGGACATCTGAGCTCAGCTGGCAACTTCTCTTCAGAAATCCGAAGAGGAAATGCCAGTAAGGAGGTGCAAATTACTTGTGTTGGTGGGCTTCAAGCATCCAGTGATCAAACTGCATGTTGTTTAAAGCTGGATCAGGTTTCATGGTATGGGCTGATCTTTCCCAGAGGGGGCACGCATACTCTGCTGAAGAATGGCGCGGAGCCAAAACGGTTCATCTTAGGGTGTGTGGTTTGGCTCCCCTTTCGGAGGCTGTTCAATTTCTTCATGATGTTGTTACGGTGAACTAAGTTTGGATGACTTGTATGACAGGATACGGTGGAGGGTCACCCTAAGGTAGACAGGAAGGCTACAAGGGGCCAATGGTGTTCCGGACCATTTGATGTTAAGGGGTCGGTTGGCTTCGCGGTTAACGTTCCTGAGATGGAACGAGCAGACTTGGGTCTTAGCGAGATTGGTACAAGAGGTGATTGCGCTCATAGAGACGGCTAAGTGCTGAGGTAAGTTTTGCTTCTATGGCTTCAAACGGAATCTTTTGAGATGTAACACAAAGATTGTCTGCGCAGATGAAACGCTCAGTGTCCTGGTCTCAATGAAATTGTGATATTTTTGTGTAGACGTACAGCAACGGATCTAGCCCAGTGCCTTGAGGCAGGCCGATTTTTTGCCGTCGACAGCGTTTTTTTTGTGTGTTCTGAACAACAAACAAGCATCTGTCTTTGAGAAGGGCTCCGATATGGTCCGTAAATGCGAGGTATTGGGACAACTCCAAGATCTTTTTCAGGAGGCGGCAGTGGTAATTACAGTCTTATTGTGACCGAAAGATCCACCAAAATAGCTCCACTTATTTGTCGTTTTGAAACCCATCCTCAGCGTGTTGTGCCAGATTAAGAGTTGGCTTGTTGTTGACTTGCAATGTCGCAATCCAGGTTGCTGAGGGATAAGGGATGTTTCAGCAATGGGGACAAGCCTGTTTAGGATCAGGCACTCGAACATGAACAAAAACAGTAATGGGTTCCTGTCTGGACCATGTTACCTGTGGCCTCCAAAGCCTGCAGTGGACTAGTTAATGTGGCTTCAAGAATCAAAGTGTATGCGGTGCAAGACGTGCATGCAACACCTTGAGAATTAGGGCGAGCACTTTTAAACTGTAAACTTTTGTGAGTGATGACATTTATTCTCACATAATGTTGTTTTACTTATACTTCATACAGTATTTTCGGTGACTGCAGTATATATCAACGGTATTCTGTTAGAGATGTTATCTTCAGTTTGACTATTTTGTGTGTATAACTAAAATCATCTTTGTCTCTTCTGAATAAAAGAAATTTCTGACCCTGAAAATGTATGTTTTGACACCTAGACTGTGATTTGATATGGGGTAGTAGCTGAGATATCAGTAAATGCAATTATTATCTGGCGGCCATCTTCAAAATCAAAGATGGGCACAATAGTGTACAAACTGACCATTTGACACTGTCATAAGTGGTATAGTTGCATTCCTTGACCCTGAAAATGTATGATTAGACGCCAAAATTGTAATCCTAAGTGGCTTAGAAGAATGATATTGGTAGACATAGGTTTTCAATGGCGGCCATCTTTAAAATCCAAGATGGCCACCGCAATGTATCTGGACAAATTAACCATTTAGCACTAACCCAAATGGTTCAGTTGCGTTCTTTGACCCTGAAAATATATGTTTAGACACTAAGATTTCAATGTTAAGTGGCTTAAAGATGCAATACATGTAGTTTTCAATGCCGGCGGCCATCTTCAGAAATGAGATGGCAACAATACTGTATCTGGACAAACAAACCATTTAATACTATCCCAAATGGTACAGTTGCATTCCTTGACCCTGAAAATGTATGTTTAGACACCAAAACTTTTCTCCTAAGTGGCTTAGAAGATGAGATATGGGTTGAAATAGGTTTTCAATGGCAGCCATCTTTAAAATCCAAGATGGCCGCCATAATGTCATTGGATAAGTTGGTTCCTATCAAAAATTGGCAGCATGACTCAGCCCTTTTAAAATGATGACTCCGACGGCCGTCAAGGGCCAGATCTGTGATGCTCCAATATCCACATTTGTTGATATGATATTGGTCTATCTCTGTACCAAATTTGGCACTGTTATCATAAAATGCACAATAGGTTTGCTATATGCCACCCACTATACAGCCGTTTTGAGTGATTTAGGGGTAGGGGAAGCAAAAATGGCCATGGCCAGCCCAATTTTCGAGACAGAAAGCTTATCTACTACTTAAATTAAAGCTTGTGGTCTCGGGAAGTTTTTAAATTATAAAGAAAGTATGTATCTTTGGAATAAGTGTGAGTTTCAAACTCATTTCTGTCCCCAAACAGGGCAAAGTCACAGGATTTGGGGGGTGTCCGCAAAGCAATATATGCCCTGGGAACACGAATACGGATAAACTTGGGACCAACCATATTTTTTCTTGTTTACCCATCCTATCAGGATGGTAAAAAGTGCAAACAGGTCACGACGGGGCCATTTTTGTGAGTGCAGAGGCCCAAAATATGATTTTAGCCCTTTCTCAAAAATAAGCTCCCAAAATATCAGTTTTTTTAAGCTGGAAGGCAAAAATACCGGCTGTGCAACTTAAGAGCACCATTTTCGGATGTCCCAAGGTACCCTACAACAGAAAATAATATTAAGATTAATCATACAATTTTGCGATTAAATGGCCCTATCCCAGGGACTATTACCTTACTGAAAAGGTTTAATAACTGTTTATCCCCATGGTAGATAAGAGTACACCTAGACCTACCTAAGCACCAAATATGACATCCAGAAAAATGTATTAGGTATGATAAACAAGACACACAAAATTGATTACTCACGTTAC